CAGATTCACTGCATTGAACACGGATGACAGAAGACCTGATGAGCAATGGGATGACATCAAGAATATAATTCCTGAAGAAATTAAAAGGTCATCAAAAAGACAAGAAAGAAATAAAAGATCAAAATGGATGTCAGAAGAGACTGAAACTTGCACTTAATTGTAGAGTGGCTAAGGTAAATGAAAGGAATAATGAAGTCGGAGAGTTGAACAGAAAAATTTCAAAGGGCAGCTCCAGAAGACAAAGTCAAATATTACAATGAAATGGCCAAAGACTTGGAGTTAGAAAACCAAAAAGGAAGAACATGCTCAATATATCTTAAACTGAAAGCACGCAAGAAAACTTCAAGCCTTAAGTTGCAGGATCAAAAGATTCTATAGGCAAAATATTGAATGATGCTGGAGCAGCAAAAGAAGATGGGAAGAATACACAGAGTCACTATATCCCAAAGAACTAGTTGACACCCTACCATTTCAGGAGGTGGCCTATGGGCAAGAACCAGTGGTACCGAAGGAAGAAGTGCAAGCTACTCTGAAAGCATTAGCCAAAAACAAGGCTCCAGGAATACCAACCGAACTTTTTAAATGACCTGGTGATGCAGTCATTTACTTACTCAAGCACTTACTCATCTATGCCAGGAATATTGGAAGACAGCTAATTGGCCAACTGCCTGGAAAAGATTCATATTTGTACTCATTCCCCCCCCAAAAAAGAGACCAAGCAGAATGCTCAAATTATAGAACAATTTCATTAATATCACATGCAAGTAAAATTTTGCTGAAGATCACTCAACAAGGCTGTGTGTTGACAGGGAGCTGCCCACTTTCAGGCTGGATTCAGAAGAGGCTGTGGAACAAGGGATATGATTGCTGATGACAGGTGGGTCTTATCTCAAAGCAGAGAATACCAGAAAGATGTTTACTTGTGTTTTATTGACTTTGCTGACATTTGACTCTGTGTCATAGTAAACTATGGATAGTCAGGAGAAGACTGGGAATTCCAGAACACTCCATTGTACCCAAGCAGAATGTGTACATGGATCAAGAAGCAGTCTTTGAAACAGGGAAAAGGTGTACTGCCTGGTTTAAAATCAGGTCAGGTGAGCATTAGGGCTGTGTCCTCTCACCATACTTCTTCAGTCTGTGTGTTAAGCACCGAAAACGGCTTACATGTAAAAGAATGTGGCATCAGAATTGAAGGAAGGATTATTCACAACCTGGGATATATGCAGGTAATACAACCTTGCTTGGTGAAAGTGAGGAGGATTTGAAGCTTGCTGATGAAGATCAAGGATTGTTGCCTTCAGTATGGATTGCAACTCAATGTAAAGAAGACCCAAATACTCACAACTAGACCAATACATAACAAACATCATGATAAATGGAGAAAATGTTGAATTTGTCAATGGTTTCTTGTTTGTATCCACAGTCAACTCACGGAATCAGTCAAGAGATCAAACTACATATTGCATTAGGTAAATGCTGCACAAGACCTCTTTCAAGTTTTGAAAAACAAGGAGGTTACTTTGAGGACTACAGTATTTTCCATTGCTTCTTATGCATGTGAAAGTTGGTCGCTGA